TAGACTGCTTTCTAATATCTAAATCCTGATTCAATATGTGACAAACACATTCCTTGGACATACTCTTAGCCTCTGCTATCTCTCTCACTTTAATTCGATGGCCATTTAGTACCAGTAGGTGAACTTTAGCGATGTTATTGTCAGTGGCTACAGTTTTTGGACATCCTGAACGTTTATCGTCCCCAAAGCTGGTACGGCCACGTTTAAATTCAACTGCCTAAAATTTTACGGTGATAAATGTTGGTACAGAGTCGCTGTAAATAGCGTCTAACTCATCTTTGATTTTCGTAGGCGTATTGCTTTTCAAAAACAAATATTTAATTACAACTCGATACTCGATTTTTCCATTTACAAAAAAATACTCACATCGACTGACTTAAGCAATTGTCAAATAACAACTGAACGTCTAAGCTAGCTAAAGTGCCTGTCAAAAGATGCGCAATCGCATTCCCTAGTTTTTATTGACGACAGCTGCCATCTTCACGTTTAGGTCAGAAACTGTTCAGGCCATCCTCGTATTTATAGGCATCTGAAATACTTTATTTTGAAAAGCTTGACAAAAGATCACAGTGAGTAGAGGAAACGTGCTGGGCTCTTAACTCAGAGGTCGATGGATCAAAACACACTCTGCCAAAAATCTTTTTTTTTTTATTTTTATACACTAATTTTTATATTTTATTTATTAGAAACTAGTTTTAAAAACTATTATAATGTCAATTTATAGCTCTATTTCGAGGTATATTTTAAGGTCTATTTAGAGGTTTTTTTGGAGGTCTATTTCAAGGTCTATTTTAGATTAAAGTGATAGTGTTATAATCAACTTATGGTAATTAATATAAAAAACATTTATTAAAATGGCAGCTACGGGTGATCTACCGGCAGGTAATCGCAAGGTGACCCAAATTAAATATAAGAATGACAGGTCATCCAGACAGCACACGACACCCATTGGACGTCCACATTTTGTCAAAATAATGTCAAAATGTCCATGAACTTCATATGGATGGTGATTCGTAGGCTGTTAGCCCTGTGAGTTGGGGCTGGAGGAATGGGCTCACGCGGGCATTACCAACGCTGTGGTAGAAGTCCACAAATTGGCCACGTCTTGACTAAAAAATTGTTGCCTATTAGAGGGACTCACCCTCACTGGACAGGACAGAAGCGCATTCTTAAGGGGGGTCGTGTTTGGTGGCGGTATGGCTACAGCCGACTATAACTTCGTCTATTGAGACACACTGGAGACGGCTACTATGTCCCGCTCAACTCCATTGTAACTGGAGAGGCCAGCACTTCGTCGCAGTGGTGTAAGTGGAAATACTCCCGGTACAGGCGCCAGAGTTCTTTTGTTTTGACATCCGGTCGTTGTAGGTCGTGGACCTTCTTCCACGCTAGGTGATAGTCGCAGCTAGTTTTTTGTCTCCTAAATATCGGTTTTATTTTTCTTCCACTCCTGACTACCTGGTTTCCGCTTGTGGTTTGAGTGGCGTCTGGATGCGGGCCACTATCTTCGATTGGACCTGAAGTGGCCATGTCAGAGATTCCTACGGTGCAGCGAAAACGGCATACTCTGCCAGGTTTTTCAGGAGTCGATGGACGGCTCAGGTTCCTTCGGGCTGCGTGTGGGTGCCTAGTAGACACATCACCTCCTTCGGGAGTTTCATACTAGTTAGGGTAATTTTAGTTTTAGTTTAGTTGAGCATTCAGTTATTGGAATTCGAAGCCTAGAAAAGGGACTTGGCTGCATTGGGTGCAGTAATGATTGGTGTCTCTTGGTTGTAGGGAACAAAGGTTCTTAGGACAGGAGGATATTCACGTGGGGGTTCGTGTTCGGCGGCAGTAGGGCGACGGCCGACTATAGCTTCGTCAATTGAGGTGCACTGGACATAGCTACTATGTTCCTCTCTACCTCCTCTGATCCGGAGAGACCAGTGCATTTCTGCAGTGGTGCAGTTAGGAACACTTCCGTACTGGTAACAGGATTGTCTTTGTTTCGACGTTAGATCGTTTTAGGTGGACCTTCTTCCACGCTAGCTAAGGGTGGTAGCTAGTTTTTTATCTTTCAATAATATCTGGTTTTCTTTTTGTTCCACCAGTGATTGTTCGAGCCGCCTTAGGTGGTTCGGGGGGTGTCTAGGCGCGAGCTGCTGTCATCTGAGAATTTGGAGTGGGAGACACAGAGGTTCCTACGGCGCAGCAACTAACATCTCGCAGCGAAAACGGATCGCCCTGTCGGGTTCTTGGGAGTCAGTGGACGATTCTAGTGATGGGTAGTCAGTTGTAATAATTCGATTTAATCTAACGTCCTGTCAATAATTAATTTCATTTTAAAACACCCCTTCACACATTTAATTCCCGCAACCCACCATTTTATTCATTCATATCATCCTTCTTGCAAATAACAATACAATCAACATATTTCGTTCATTCATGTATCCATGTTATGGGAAGGATGTAGAGTGATTCGATCATTCCGACCGGCCGGGATTCGATCGTTCAGTACTTCTAGGTGATTGAATCTTAGCGACCGAATCATTACCGATTGACACATCTCTAGACGGTTCAGGGTTTCCTAGGCTAGGTGTGGGGGGGATTACCGGTCAGCCATGTGACCTTCCTGGGGTGAAAGGGAAGTTTTACTAGTTTTGTATTTGTAGTTAGGGAAACAGGTGTATATCTCTCTAGTATGTGTCAGAATATAACTGGGAATGTATTTGTTTAAGATCAGGTAGCGCTGCTGCAAATTTACTTAAAGTAGAGGGGGGATTTACCGGTTTTAATCGAGCGTTAAGCCTATAGTATAGTTCGTCCATAGAGTATTTCTTTACCTATATTTGCTTAAAATAAAACTATTCAAAAGTTTTCATACTTTCAGCGCACACCTCCACACAAAACACAATTTATATTATCCAGTTCGTTTAAAATTGTAGAGATTTTGTACTGAATGTAATATTTTTACAAGATTTAAAGTAAACTAGTTTTATGATACCTTTCTGGTGTAAGTTGCTAAAATTTACCTGTAAAATTCCTTCTTGTTTTTTTTTTGTTTTTTTTTTGTGTCATCGGCATCAACTGCTACGGTTATTAGCCTCGTGTTCTGTGTAGGCTTTGTTACTGTTTCCGAGTGCCACTTTAGGAACAGCACTATTAATTAGTACCCAACAGTGAATGGTCGGGTGGGTGAATGTTTTTTTCAATAATTTTCACAAACACAGCACAATAATTCTTTTAACTGGGATATGATGTAATTTTGTAGAATGTTCTCAATAACTTTCACAAGCACTAAACAACATTTGTTAATCGTTAAATCAGTTTATTAATTTAAACTAGCCGTATATCGAATTTCAAAATAATTGGGGTTATATTTATATTTGTAAGTGACTGCTAGACAGCTCGCAGGTCATAAATAAATAGCTACCAGAGCATAGGTACCGCTAGGTAAAGCCGAGTGTATACGAGCGCTTTTTTATATTAATTGCTATAAGTTGATTATTAATCAACGGAAAAACTAGTTGATGTTTTGCTATGATTTACACACATTTTAGAAACTTTTATTAAGTAATTTTTGTTTTAAAAGCTTGTTTTGATAATTTCGTAGTGTAAACATAAAAAGTACAATATTTTGATAAAACCGCAATTTTAATTATTTTTTGAAACGCAAGCCCCAACGGTTTTTTAAATGTTTAAAATAATACATTTACGTAACTTGTAAAGGAACTTTTTGAATTTTGCGCTCATATTGTAGTAAACGTTACGATCTATGCAATGGTACCAATACCTCTTCTTTTTAAATAGTGCCCTTCTGCACAGTTTAATTTTAGATTACCTTCTGTTCTAGAATCTGCAAAATTATAGTTTTCAATAAATTAACAATTTAACTATCAACACATATAATTTTAATTATTCGATTGACTGGCATTACACTATTACTAAACGATTTCAGAAATTATGTTTTCAAGGTATGTACATATATTCATGACCTATATGTTCATTGTAATAAAATATCCTTGCATAAAGCTATATCTACATTGTAATTATCGATGAATTTAAATTATGAAAAATTTTATTTATCTTTAATTCAAATTCAAATATTGCAAAATAAAAATACCATAATGAAAACACTTAATATAAAGTGTACAAAAACACAATAAAACAATAAAATAATTGAATAAAACTTATTTTTATACTAATTAAGATAAATTTGTTTATATACATATACGGTGACAAAGGTATTAAACTTTTTTAGTATATATTATAACAATTTTAATAGGTATATGAAAAACCATTCTGAAAGGCTTAAAATTAAAATTATGAGGGCTCTTCGGTAAGTATATGATAAAATGAGTAGATGGCTTCATTGTTAAATATACGTATTTACTTCATTACAATCTGAGCCATGGATATTTGGTATAGCACATGTTTCGGAATATCAAATATTTCCATCTTCTGGTGCAGTCACAAATTTTTTGTTTTAAAATCATCGAGAGACGTTACACACAGTTTAAAAATTTTAAAGATGAAACCACATCATTTTGTTTTACATCGTGTAGGTGTATTCGAAATATTAATATCTATAATGTGATGTAATTTAATCTAATGTGTTGATAGGGACTATAGAAGTGAGTTTTAGGTTATAGGAAATCAAAACATCATCGTAATATTGTATGTCCTTAGAATTATTTAGATAGTCTGATCGTCTCAAAAAAAATATGATTAAACATATAACATAACTACACACAATTTAAATAAAAACTTTTCAATACACACAATTTGCATATATTTTTTTCAATATTACATACTTATCACACATATTTTTTAATTTGATACCACAATTGACACCGCACAACACTTCACATAGATGGATAATATTTATTGTCCTAAATTTGATGTAATCTTTGACATAGATGATGCTGCATCCGAAATCATGAGGAACTCTAGTGATAGCAATTTCCAAAATAATCTGTAAATTTCTAGGAAATGTTTATTAGTTGTTTTATTTTTAGATCACCAAAGAAACTAAAATACATTCTGATAGCAGCCGTATTGGTAGTAATAATTGTAGTAGCAGTAACTTTGGTGTTCGTCTTTAGAGCAAAAGAAGACGAAGTAACAAAGTTTAGGGGAGCTGTAGTGACAAATGGAATAGAATGTTCACAAATAGCAGTGTAAGTTTTGTTTATATTGTTAAATTATTAATAATAAAGTTATTTTCCTCCAATGATCATCCCAATGTATCAATTAAAAATTAAAATTTAACAGCCAATTGCGAGGTATCATTATTACAATATATATAGAAATTAAAAGTGTGCCCATTGTGAAGAAGGCCACCAGGCTGATTACCGCGGATATTTTATAGACAAAGAATTTTACAGAATAAAAAACAAGCAAACGAAGAAGCCAGACTTGCCTTCGCAACCCAATCGGGATGACAGGCAACATATATTAATCAAAAAGTAAGACCTATATTAAAAATCTGATGTGTCCAACACATGACTTTCCTATCTAATTATTATAGGCTTTTTCCGGTTATTTTGTATAACCTATTGCAGCATCTCTATGAATTTTTAGAGGATAAACTAAATATATACATTGGCCACATACATCTACCTCGAAACATTTTTCTATAGATATTCATTGAAAACGAAAATACTGAAAAATTTCAATATAGCACTTTTCCATTACGGTCCATTTTAGAAAAATCATGTATAAACAAAAATTATAGAGATCGATATCGCAAACAACTTTTAGTTCAACAATTTTCATAAAAATCATAATTTTGCACATTTTGTCAAATTTCTCGAATACGGACCATTTCAAGAAATTTTGACAAAAAACAAAAATTAGAGATAATAATATTAGAAGTAACTTTTCTTTTCCAAACATAAATAACAGATATATTCCATAAAATATAAAAACGGCCTCCCATAAAATACCCCCCCAGATATTCCGACTTTGTCCAAAATCTAATCATTTCACGTCAGGCCGAAATAAACCTTAAGTTTAAAATTTATTGTTTTTTTCTTTATCCGTTTTTGAGTTTTCTTCAAAATTCGAAATTTACACATTTTCTCAAATATCTCGAATACAGTCCATTTTAGAGAAATTATGTATAAAATAAAAATTATAGAGAATTATATTACAAACAACTTTTATTTGAACAATTTTTATAAAAAATTATTTTTTTTACATTTTGTCAAATTTCTCGAATAGGGCCATTTTAGGAAAATTTTGTATAGAACAAAAATTATAGATAATTATATTAGAAGTAACTTTTATTTAAAGAATTTTCTTCTCCAAACGTAAATAACAGATATATTCCATAAAATATAAAAATGACTACCTATAAAGTACCCCCCCCCAGATGTTTCGACTCAGCCCAAAATCTAAGCAGTTCATTAGACGCTGGAATAAATAAGAAGGGCCTCAGTAAAAAAAGGCGAAAGTGCAGTTATAATTAAGGAATTCATTTTACACTATTAAGAAATGGGTTACTTAGAAGTAGAAATACAGGCCACTTATGAAATTGTACTCACAGCTTCAAATAGCCCACCAAAATATTCAATAAAGCAGCATCAGTACGTTGTACTTTTTGGATAGCCAAGGATACAGATTCATACTGGGAGGAGACTTTATTGCAAAACATACTCACTGGGGATTTAGGCTGACAACAACCAAAGGGAAATAATTATTAGCATTATGCCATCAACAAAAATTTCAAACGTTAAATGGAAAGCCTACATACTGGTCCACAAATTCGAACAAAATTCCCGATCCCATAGATTTTTTATAATCAAAAACATCGCCTCAAATTATACGCATATAAAAGAATTAGAGGACATAAACTCAGATAATTCTCCCTAACTTCTCACACTGAATGATAATTTAATCAAAAACGAAAATTTACCTAAACTAGTTAACAAAGGCACTGACTGGAAAAGATTCAAAATCAACCTAGAAAAACTAATTGATCCCTCGATTCCATTAAGAACTAAACAATAATTAGCACCAGATAATAAAACAACTTTAAACAACACAACAGCTAAAACGTGAAATACGATACATTAAAAATTATTCGATTGAGGACTATATAAGTGAATTAATTAACGATAAATATACCGATTATTTACTATAGAAAGCTACCAAATGATTAAACAGACCCATTACGTAACTTACCAATCATAAAAATAGATGGAAGCTGAGCCCGACAAAATTTGCAATAAGCAAACAGACTTGCGGAACATTTGGAGAGTACCTTCCATCCCAATAATGGTGAAGGTCTTTAAGACTGGATGCAGCTAGCACAAGAAGGCACAGTCGTTAAACCCCTCTCCAAAAAAAGAAAATCAAAACAAGTATACATTCTAAAAAATCCCTGGCTTTGAGCTTATTACTGGGGAAATTTTGAAAATGCTTGCAAGGAAAGCTATTTTTAAAATTACTTTATTAATAAATGCGCCCTTTAGACTAAAATACGTACCAAAGATGTGAAAGGTGGCGGAAGTTATAATGATACATAACCCAAGTAAACTTCCCCATGAAGTTACATCTCACATATACATACCCATTTTTTTGTTACCTGTTATCTCGAAAAGAAATTGCTGTTTAAGAGATTGAACTCTATACTAGAAGAAAAGGATCTAATACCTCCAACCAATATGGTTTTAGAGAAAAACACTCGACCATTAACCAAGTTCATAAAATTTTCCAGTAGTTACCAACATGGCTGTCCCAATATGGGAACGTTAAGGTTATCCAGCTTCTGAACAGTGCCAATCTAATAATAAGACTCAAGAGAACCAAGCCTTTTGAGTAAGTTCAGTGATGTTAGATAAAAGCAGAGTATAGTACGGTTTAATGTTATAGGTTAACGGTAGTGTAACTAAATAATTAAGATACTCTAGTGAGTAAAATCTTAGTTTTTCATCCCTAGATAAGTTAGGTTAGAATAAAATTGCTAATTCCTTAATAATCAGATTGTAATAATCTTTACTTGAGGCATTTATTAAAATAAAAAAAATAGATAGGATGTATTATTTGCAAACACTACAATAGTAATATCATTAAGTGACAAAATTAGATCGAAAATAAAAAATTAAAATAAAAAAGGTTTAAAGACAGAGCCCTGAGTAACATCACAATTACTTAAACATGTTTCTGATAATCGAGAAATAACTGATTTCTCTCAGATAGGTAGGAACTCATTCACTTATTAACTCTCCCTCTAAAAGCATGATTTACTAAAGCAAGAGCCTAAATTCATAACAATACATACAGTCCTTTCGTTTTTATTTAAATAATCAGGGAAGTTATTGAGAAAGCTAATAAAGGCAGTTTGAGTAGATCTACCTTCCCTGAACACGGAGTATTATAAAATACGTTATATTTAGAATATTTTAATTTGTGATTAGAGCATTTTCAACTCAGATATTACACCTAGTGTATTTTCTAAAAACTCTTTTCCAGAAATATCATGCAGAAAGGCGGAACAGTAGCAGACGGCGCTCTAGCAGCATTATTTTGCGAGGGTATCACGATGCCCTCAGCGATGGGCTTAGGAGGTGGATTTTTGTTGACGCTGTACAATAGAACTACTCGACAAGCGGTTTCTTTAAATTCTAGAGAAGTTGCTCCCAAAGCTGCTACGCAAAATATGTTTGGAGCAGATGCGAATTTATCCCTAAGAGGTAAGAAAACATCCAGTATAGAGGGAGTCTTCAACAAGACCCGCATCCACTATTATTGTTTTTATTAACTCAATTTCTGTATTATTCAATTCCTCTATTAATTCCTTTAATAATTTCTTTATTAATTCCTTTATTAATTCCTTTATTAATTCCTTTATTAATTCCTTTATTAATTCCTTTATTAATTCCTTTATTAATTCCTTTATTAATTCCTTTATTAATTCCTTTATTAATTCCTTTATTAAGTCCTTTATTAATTCCTTTATTAATTCATTTATTAATTCCTTTATTAATTTCTTTATTAATTCCTTTATTAATTCCTTTATTAATTCCTTTATTAATTCCTTTATTAATTCCTTTATTAATTCCTTTATTAATTCCTTTATTAATTCCTTTATTAATTCCTTTATTAATTCCTTTATTAATTCCTTTATTAATTCCTTTATTAATTTCTTTATTAATTCCTTTAATAATTCCTTTAATTTCTTTAGTAATTTCTTTATTATATCCTTTATTAATTCCTTCAATAATTGCTTTATTATTTCTTTTATTAATTCCTTTATTATTTCCTTTAATATGTCCTTTATTAATTCCTTTATTAATTCTCCTTTAATAACTCCTTCATTAATTTTTTTAATAATTCCTTAATTAATTTCTTTGTTATTTCCTTTATTTATTCTTTTAATAATTTTTCTAATAATTCTTTTGTTAATTCACTTAATAATTTTTTTATTAATTCACTTAATATTTTTTTAATTAATTTCTTGTCGTCAGGGGGATTATCAGTTGCAGTTTTCGGAGAGCTTAGAGGATATTGGGAGCTTTACAAACATTACGGTGGTGGCGTATCATGGAAGGAAATAATCCAGCCTTCCATTGATATGTGTAAAAATGGTATCACGGTTACTAACTTTGTAGCTAGAGCGTTACAGAAATACAAGGTCACCGTTCTGGCCAACCAACTTTTGAGGTAAATCACACTTATCAAAAAAATTATCATCGTCATATTCATGTTAACTTTTTGTGACAGTGAATCGTTTACTAATCCAGTAACCAATGACGTTCTTGTGGAGGGGGATACATTTTTTCTACCAAGGTTGGTAAAAACGTTAGAGATCATCGCAGAAGAAGGTGGTGATACCCTTAATAATGGGTCACTTACATCTGGGCTGGTTGAAGACATCAAGAACCATCAAGGAATAATAACAATCGAAGATATGAATGATTATAAGTAAGTAATTTAATAATTTACACGAAATATACATGACGGATGTTTAGAGTTTCGATTTCTTTATTTTTTATTGTCTATTTAATAGCTTCGATGTTCTTGACCTACGATTATACCTAACAAATTGGCCGTTTTGTGTATGTAATTACATTTTTGCAGACCACAATGGCAAACACCAATAAATACCACCCTTTCTGGCGGACACACTGTCTACACCCAGCCATTACCAGGTTCAGGATCAGTACTGACGTTGATTCTGAATATACTGGATACTTTTTTGGATTTAAACCATCCAGAAATAATCGAAAACTATCAAAAGATTATAGAAAGCTTCAAGTTTGCTTATGCTAAAAGATCGCTGTTGGGAGATTCTGATTTTGTCGATGTTGCTAAGGTACCTTTTAATTTAATTAAAAAATAAAATATTTTCAAATTTTCTCTGTTTTTTCAGCTAGTCTCCGACTTAAGTTCAAAAGATTATGCAAAAAGTTTACGGAAGCTTATTAGTTTGAATTCTACGCAAACAGACGCTTCTTACTATGGAGCTAACACTACTTTACCAGAAGATCATGGTACCGCCCATTTATGCATCTTATCACCAAATGGAGATGCCATATCTGTCACGAGTACCATAAATTATGTGTAAGTGGCCGATTTTCTCTTTATTTTGAATTAATTTAAAATTCGAAATATAGTAGCCAAAATAAAAAAAGTCTAAATGTGTTATATCTGGGAATCATGGATGCTCCTATAATATCCTCAACTCCTTTAGGATGTAAAATTTAGAAGTATACTTTAATTTTTTATTACACGCTTTTGGGTTATTTAATTAAGAAGAAGAATAAACATTTTATAATACAAAATCAAAAAATTTACAATGAGAAATTATTCTTAAAATATTATGCACCTAGATGAAGAAACATCTGTATGTGTAATAAAATTAGATTAAAACTACATAAAATTAACAATACCTATAAACTAAACATTTATTGATTAAAAGGACATAAATATATAAGACTAGGTATTTATAACAAATTTGAGAGGTATAAATATTTATCAAATATAAATTTTCTGATCGCTTTAGAAAAGGTTTTTATGTTTTCTATTTGTCTGATATTTTCACTTAAAGAGTTGTATACTTTTGGCCCAATTGAAGAAATGAATCTTTTATTTCTATCATATTTAAAGAATTGTACATTTACCATTCTTCTTTTTTGTTTTCAGGTCATATAAGAGTGATTTAAAAAAATTTTATTTTTCAGTTTGAAATAGAACATACGGCTAGAGTGAAAGTATAGTGATCTTACGTTTGGAGTGGATTCGTTGTATAAGAGGGTTGTTGAAAACAAACGTCTTTTATGATTTATTATCTTTAAGATATAATTTTGAATGATACTTAAAGGATGTAGGGCATTGTCATATAAACCACCCCATACAATTATGCCATATCTAAAATTTAAATATGAGTTTTCTTATTTTGTTTGTTAAGTACTGAACATGATCAGTCCATTTAAGATTTTTGTCAACTATTATTCCCAAATATTTGGCATTTTCCACTTATTTGATGATGAATTTGGATTCTTCAATACAAATCTGTTCGAAGTTAGGCCTGTTGGCATCTGTGAGTGATAATATACTGTTTTCGATATATTTAAAGACAGTTTATTATAATCCAACCAGTCTTTTATAATTCTTACCCCTTTAACCACTATTGATTTTACAGCCTCCCAGGTTTTACCTTCAAACATTAATATGGTGTCATCTGCATAGGATATTGCTATAGCATTTATAACTAAGTTTAAAAGAGAGTTGATATAGATGATAAAAGAATTGAACCAAGGACAGTTCCTTGTGGCACACCTATTTGAATTTTAACAGGATTACTAAATTCATTTCTAATTTTAACTATCTGTGTTCTCTCGTGTAGGTAGTTTTCAAACATTTTTTAACCAATCCTCGAATGCCATAATGTTCAAGAACATTTAGTAGTTGCTTGTGTATAACAGTGTCAAAAGCTTTCGCGAGGTCGATAAAAACACTTATATTTTTATTTTCATTCTCAAGACTATTTTTTATATTAGATATCAATTCATACACGGCATCACAAGTGCTAACACGTTTTTGGAATCCGAACTGTTTAACATTTAAAATCTTTTTATCAATTAGATATTCGTATAATCTTTTTTTTAAACATTTTTCAAACATTTTTACAAAATTTGTAATCAGACTTATTGGTCTGTAATTTGACACATCTTTTTTGGATCCGTTTTTAAAAACTGGATTTACAATTGATATTTTAAGTTCTTCCGGTATCTTACCTGTTGTAAAGATTAGGTTTATAATGTGCATTAGAGGCTCTATTATGTATCGGTGACCATTTTTCAACATTCTAGATGTAATTTCGTCAATCTCAGGAGCACTGTTATTTTTTAACGAATTTATATGTTCTATTAATTCATTTTTATTGACAGGATTTAATGCCATTGAGTTGATTAGAAGTGGATATCTTATTAGGAAGTTATCTACAGAATTGATTTTAGTTGCCATATCTATACCAATTTTTGAAAAATAGTTATTGCAGTAGTTGGCCATTTCTTTGTTATTTGTTAATTGTTTATTATTGTTAAGAATAATAAAATCATTGGTTTCTGTGTTCATTTGAAGCTTCTTTAACTATTTGAATATTTTTTTAATATCATTGTTACTATTTTGAATTTGAATTGTATAATAATCATTTTTAGCTTTATTTATTATATTTCTTTAACTGTTTCAGTTTTGGCGCAGGCTTCGTCTCAGAAAGTACAGGAATCATCTTAAATGATGAAATGGATGATTTTTCTTCAGACAGCATCGTCAATGTTTACGATCTACCTCCGTCTCCTACTAACTATATAAAGCCAGGAAAGCGTCCTATGTCTTCCACATCTCCGACGATAATTGTAAACGAACATGGTGACGTGGAAATGATGACAGGGGCAGCCGGAGGATCTAAGATTATCAGTAGTATTGCGCAGGTAAGAAAACGTTCTTTAGAAACATTAATGCAGCACTTTTTGGTGCCAAGCTCTTAAACATTTTCTGTATTAAATTTTTGACATTTATATCTTCATCTTTTTACATAAATGTCCGATATTTCTTACATTTTTTCTCTATTTTTTTTATTCGCTTTTCCATTGTTAACATAAGTTCTATATTTTTACATTCATTTCTCTATTTGCTACATACATTTTTGTATTTTTAAGGTTAACTATATATGTATTTTTTACTTTAATTTCTTTGTTTGTTAATATGTTTTTAAATAATTGTAGCTTATAATAAGATATATATGGTATGGCTCAGATTTAAAAGAAACTATGGATGCAAAGAGAATTCATCACCAGCTATGGCCAATGAGAGTGGATCTTGAGCCCGAATTTGAAACTGAGGTAAACTACTCACATAGAAATATTCACCAGCAGAAATACTTATTGAAGTATTTTATTTAGTCTACGTTAACCGTAATATCCAATTGTAGTATCCTTCCGTTCAATGTCTTGCAATTTAATTTATATTATTTAACGTGGTATCTTATTTATATCTTATTGTTTTCATGTTGTTTTTTATTCTTTTTAGGACACATACGTGGCCGAGGGCTTGAGAAAAATAGGGCACAATGTGACTTTTGTTGTTGGAACGGGATTTTCTGCGGCTACATCTATAGGTAACCGGGATGGAAAATCTGTGGTTGGCGCTTATGACAGAAGGCGATCCGGATCTGTGTCGTATTTATGATATTCTTAGTCCAACAAAAAGCGCATTAAATACAGTGAGCATCATAAGTCATACCCCCCCTAACTAACTCGTTACTGGAGTCTTGTTATGAAAATCGCCGAGACAGTTTGATTTTTGTTTTCTACAATGTACATTTTTGTATGATTAGTTTACCCTTAATTTTATCCCTTATTGGAGGGGAACAACCCTTTCGAAAAATTTAAATGGCATGGGGTGGTGAGTGATAGCTCATTTAAAAGGGGGTTTTATTCTCTATTTAACCGTGCAAAAAAATTTTAAATTTACTTCATTACGTGTTGATTTATAAATGTTTAAAAATAACAAAACCTCACAAAATAGGAAAGTAACTAAACTAATAGTGACCTTCTAATGGCAAAAAGTCTTACTTCACGTCTGAACCGAAATCATGCAGGGCCAATTTTAATTCTAAGGATGAGTGCGCTACGTTAATTTCCGTTATTCTGAAACAACAGTTAGTCGAGAATTAATGAAGCAAATTTTAAATGTTTGTACATGGTTGAATAGAGAATAAAACCCTCTTTCAAATGAGCTATCACTCACCACCCCATGCCATTTAAATTTTTCGAAAGGGTTGCTCCCCTTTAGTAAGGGATGAAATTAAGGGTAAACTATTCATACAAAAATGTACATTGTAAAAATCAAAAATCGACGTGTCTCGGCGATTTTCCTAACAAGACTCCAGTAACGAGTTAGATAGGGGGGTAAGACTTATGGTGCTCACTGTATATGAAATATATTTTTTTAAATATCCGTTTTTGAGATAAAACCTGTACAAAATATTCTTGGTTTTTGTCCAAGTCTGCAATTGAACCAGACTGTAATTAATGCTCAATTATATAAGCTTAAACTCAGTGATAATCAACAGTGACTATGTTGTAAATAACTGCTTGTATTATTAGTATTACTGAACAATAAAACTCAGGTTTCCTTTTAATTCTCTTCTTCATTTAATTTTTTTAATCATATTAGATTTGGTGCTATATTTGGTCAGCAACTACAAGGGATAGAGGCCTTGAAATCCAAGAAATCCAAGAAAAAGACTATGAAAATAAATAAAAACTTCAAAAAAACAAACAAGCATGCTTCAAATTGGTACGAGCTTTAGCCCTAGAACACGGGTCATTCGTAAATTTTACAAAGCTCGTACAACATCATGTTTTTTTCATCACTTCTGGTTTTTGTGTCGGATCGCCCGACTGAGTACCTTCCTGTCTAGTATTAAGCTAGACAGTGTGCTATACGGTCGTTCTGATTTCCGACTCTAAAGTGACTTTTCGGCGATAGGTTCGTAAAATTTACGAAACTCCTGTGTTTACGTATTTTTTTATATTCAACTTGATTTTTTTGCTACAGTTTTTTAGTGTTTACTAAAATAATTTTGAGGTAAGTTATATTCATATTTTTTCTATTTTGATATAAGTATATTTATAGTAATTTTTTTAGATGTCAAATAAAAAAAATTGACCCAAAAACAACTGGAGGAAGAAGCAGAACGTGTCTTTCAAGGTGGTGAAAGTGATCCAGAGCTATTTGAAGATAGTGGCAGTGATTGGGAAGAGGATAATGTAGAAGTAGAATCATGTGGCTCCGATAGTGAAGACGATAAAGATAATTCGGGTGATACTCTCGACCAAGTTCAATCTTAAGAAGAAATAGAACCTAGTTTAGATAAAGATGCTATTCACAAGTACGTACAAGATCAAAATATGTAATAAGTTTCAAAACAAAAAGTTTAACAGGCAAAAATGGTCAAATGGTCTACGGAATTGTCTGAAATGTCAAAAAGAACTGCTGCTAGAAATATTATTCATTTTATATCGGGTCCTAGGGGGAATGCGAAAGAGTGTTCTAACCTGGATATATATTTTTTACATTTTTTTTCTGACGGCATAATTGAAATTATTGTGCAATATACAAATGCAGAAATTGCCATGCAAGCTCAAAAATATAACGGTCACCAGAATGTTTTCCCAACGACAAAAGACGAACTGAAAGTGATGTTTGGTATTTTAATTCTTTCTGCCAAAAAAAGATAATCATTTGTCAGTAAGGCACATGTTTGATAAAAATATTTCCGGCTCGTTTTATAGATCGTGTATGAATTGTGATCGTTTTTCGTTCCTGCTTATTTGTCTTAGGTTTGATGCTAAGGAAACAAGACAGGAAAGAAAGGCAGATGATCCTTTTACACACATTCGAGAAATATGGAATATTTTTATTGAAACTTGTAGAACATCATATAGTCCATCGTCATACGTAATAATTGATGAGCAGCTGTTGGCATTCCGAGGACCATGTCCTTTCAGGATGTACATACTGAACAAACCGGCAAAATATGGAATAAAAATTGTTATGGTTTGCGATTCCTCCCTCAACCGAGTATATGTTAGATGCTTGCTCTTATTTGGGAAAGAAAACAAAGACTTTCCTCTAGCTGATTTTTATGTCAAAGAGTTAACGAAATCAATTCATGGCACAAATCGCAACGTTATTATGGACAATTGGTTCACATCGGTTCCTCTTGCTAATCGGTTGCTACAAGATCCCTACAAGTTAACCATAATATGAACTATACGCAAAAATAAAAGAGAGATACCCAAAGAGTTCTTAGATGGAAAACATCGGAAACCAAATACGTCAATGTTTTATTTTGATCAAAAAAAGACATTATTATCCTACATGCCCAGAAAAAAACAAATTAGTTTTGTTACTTTCAATATTGCATGTGGGGGCAGAGATAAATGAAGAAACTGGGAAGGCAGCAATAATTCATAACTATAACGAGACCAAAGCAGGTGTGGACACATTCGACCAAATGTGTTCCAATATGAGTTCGAGCAGGAAAACACGCAGATGGCCTCTATGTATGTTCTATGGTATGATAAATAATGCCAGCATAAACTCTTACGTTATTTACACATTTAATATAATAAAAAAGGGCCAAAAACCTGTTTCAAGGTACCAATATATGACTGATTTGACCTTTTGCCTTACCAAACCGTGAATGATGCATAGATATAATAGCCCAAATTTACGTCGAAACATTCGTCAAGATATAGGTGAAATCCTTGGTATATTGAATGAAAACTTTATCAATATACCTAAAGAAAGGAAAAGAAAGACTTGCTTCTACTGTCCAAGCAAGAAAAAGCGCATGACCACCAATTATTGTAAGGAGTGCAAAAATCCGATTTGCGGAGAACACCGAGGAGACATTTATACCGTATATTCTGAAAAATAAAAAAAAAGGTACCATTCCTTGTATATTTTCTAAAAATAAAATTACATAACAGAAAAAAGGTTTTTTTATAACAAAAAAAGGTTTATTTTTTATTGAGTAGTAAAATTTACGATAGTCTCCTAAAAACGTTTGATAAAACGGTCCCGCATTCTAGGGTTAAGTGTTCCCAATTTTTGTATACCAAAAAAAGGTGTAATGAAGGTAACGACACCCTTATAATTTTTGATTAAGAATCCTAAATTTTATATTTGTCAACGATAGGCACGGATTGGTACATACTTTTAAAATGTGCTTTCTTCAAGAAATGTTTTTGGGAAGCCTTTATTTCAAGAGAATTACGTCTGTAAATATTAACACAAAGAAAAGAAATCTATTAACAGTTACACAATTATCATCAGAAACACAAAAAAACTATTTTAAAAAACCAGTATTCATCACTTGTCTGTCTAATTAATACCTCATATTACCTACACGAGCCTGTATAACGGTATTCATTCTTCTATGCCTACTGTTAATCAAGTTTAATACTTCATTCTGTGAATTGCTTTCCATTCCTCTAAAAGAGCCACTCTGAGCTGATCCAAGGTAAGAGGAGCGGGTACCCGGCTTCGAATCCTTCTATCGAGCATATCCCAAACATGCTCGATGTGATTTAGATCGGGACTGCGCGCTGGTTATGCCATTTGGGTAATATCAACTTCGTTCAAATATTCCGTGAAAATACGGGCGGTATGAGGGCGTGCATAGTCATGCATCAGTATAAAGTCACTTATAAATGTTGCATATACCTATCCGCAGTCACATATTCCCTAGGCACCTTATAACATTCTGTACCCGCCTTCGAAGATATTCCAGCCCACGCCATAATTGAACCCCCTTGAAAAGTTACCCTAGAGTTAAAAGTGCACTCGGCATATCGTTCACCTTCCCTTCTCCAGATTTTGTCGCGACCATCTGGGGATCGTAAGCAAAATCTGGATTCGTCGGTAAACAACACAAAGCTTTAGTGTAATCTGGCTACACGATGTTCCCTGGATAGTTCTGATCCTATAGCGGGTCTTCGATTTTTCAGATTAGCTTCATTCAACCTTCTTCTAACTAATCGTTCACTAACATTTACATTTCTGACATGTTCAAGGTTATTTTTAATCTTTACAGCAGTGTAAACTCCCGTCTCTATAGAACGTGTAAATTCACGTTGGACGGTACTGCGTAATACCCCGAATCTGTTAGCCACGTAAATTTGACTTCTTCCGTCTTGAATAAAAGCAACAATAGATCCAACAGTTTCTGCTCTTAAAGGCATCTTAAAATTCCCACTAATCGACATAACCAAGTAATGAAAATCACTGAAAATGCATAGCCTACTTAGAACACTGAAGTAAGGGCAATATGATAACTTTTACATTATTCAGATTTTCGTACAATATCTGGAATATGTTTATTTTGGGAAGGCATTTTATGTTGAAAAATCTGCAGGGTATTCTACTAAATCGTGTTTTTTTGTCCAAATAAATAAAACCAAACTAAAAAACAAATTGAAAAATTAATGCATTTTCATTAAAAGTGACTATACAAACAAATCTTATCTCTAGCAAACAGGTAGAGGCCAATTAGTAGACTTGGAAAAGAAGAACTAACCTATAAATTAATGATTATAAACAACTTTTAATAAAAAAAATGAAGAGTTATTCGGTAGTTGCAATACAAGTTAATATTAAATTATAAGCATAACAATTTTGGCTATTTGACATCAACATTCACATCTAATAATATAAGTATGTTTTTTAGAGGAACACATAACCCTAGAAACATTCAAACAAAAACTTTAGGAGCGTGAACTTTTTCAGCGGTTGTATATCGTCACTATGGAAAATTAAAAAAAATTGGTTTTAAATACAAGATGATTCACATTGTGGTTTAATGGAGTTACCACACATTGCTTTTAAATGTGCTTTTTGACACGAATATATATTAAAATCAAAAGGGAAGGCTCAAAACAGGTGTTTTTTGGAGAGGACATGGATATTTAAAGATGGTAGAGTTTGACGTTCCTCGCAAGACGATGGTAAGAGAAATGTGAGGAAAACTAAAGTGGGTGGTGCAAGCCCAACTAACAAAGTAGCTTTTTTATTTTTAGTTTACAAGTCTATTATATTTTATTGATATTATATTGCTGTTTCTGAAAGGCTAGTTTGTTGTACTAAAATTGCAGGAACCACTATTTTGTTCTTTGAAACTAAATTGTTATTAAAATTAGTTCTTACAACATTCTTACAGCAAAATTATAAAATAGTTTTCACGATAACTATAAAATTGTTACGCAAACATTTATACATTTTAGCTAATAAAATAAAATTGTTTTATAGTGATTCTATATTGTTGCTTTGGATCATCTTTACAGCTTTTTGGTTATACAAATACAACTTTTTCTTAAGCTCACAATAACGCATTAAAAAATTGTTATATAAATGTTAGTGTGAGATAATTCCGAGTCAACAGCGATTTTCTTCTGATAAAAACTCCAAAATAACTATAATTCAGTTTCGAAATACACTTCTGCAAATCAGAAAACTATTTTAATCTTTAATCAATTAATAACTTGACAACACTTTAATGTTGATTGCACATAAGATTCAAGCTAGAAAAAAGAAAGTACACTGTCACAATGTTATCTTCAAGTGAAGTAAAAA